ACTATCGTTTTAATCGATATCCGGAAGTCCTTGGATATCTAAAAGCTATATTTTTCTGAATCTTAGTTTTAAATTTCTCTGTCGGAACATTCCCGATATTCCGATTATTTCTTATTCTGTTATTTTAAACTCGCGGATATGATTTCTCTGTAGTAATTAACTTTCTCGTTCATTTCCCATATTTACGTAACGAAAAATTTTTTTATGCATTTCATTTAATGTAGCATGTCTGCTAAAAGCAGAATTGTGTAAGGAAAGAAGTAAAAAAAAAAGAAGATGAAAGAAGTCGAGAACAACGAGGTCGGAACTATGAAAAAACTAATTAATAAAAAAGAAATTTTTTTAAATATCTTATTCAAATGTTCTAGATACATTTTTATAATACGATATGTATACAATCTATGACGGTTCTTCGTTCGAGAAGATTTTAGAAAATCTAATGAAAGACTCGATAGATGATGAATGGAAACACTGATTTTTATTATCAAGATTATATTACGCTGACTCTGATTACACTAACTCGAAAAAATAATAATTCTTAAACCCGTTTTAGAATATGGGATTGCAAACTATAAGTCGTAAAAAATTAACGAATTATAGTCGATTATTTTTCTCATATTCAACCTGTGATTATAGCAGCCAATTTCTTACGGCTTAAGGCTTGCGATGCTATAGTATTATATTGTAGTACAGGCCTTACCGTATTGACGTTTGCGTAGATGTTACCCGTCTGCGCGTTTTAGGTTTCTGAGAGGCTGATTCAAGCTCAGTCATTTTCATCTCTCTCAGATATTTCACATCCGAGGAAAAAGTGAGGTCGCTTTCGTCTTCGTTGAGAAATTAGTTGCACATTTCAAGTGCAACCGCGCGTCCTCGAATTATTCAGTTTACTTTCACATTATAATAATCACAACGAATAGAATGAAAATCTGCTATATATACTCGTATAAATTTAGAGAAATCAAATGAAATGTTGTTTCTACATATATATTTTTCCTCAACGCTTATCCGTGAATTAATAACTGTTGTGGGCACAAAGTCTATATGTTACTGATTGAGATGTCAATGACGACAAATGAGGCAAATGCGATATTAACAATACGATTGTAAGATTTCGAGTGCTTTATTCTGATAAAATTGAATATCGTTAAGAAGCAAAAGAAGGTTACTTCATTTTTATCAAGTTAAGATAAGATTCTCTTCAAAACAGACACGAGCTATTTCTTCGCAGATTTCGACTATAAAACGATGAAATTTTTATTTTATGATAAGCGCTCGTGTTTATGCAATTTATATCGAGATCAACGTTTTCTGAATTTTTCTTTGAATTAAAAGTAATAGAAAACAGCAGTTTAATATTCTTACACATTTATTGAATTAGAAACAAATAAAACGCGCACGATTTCAAACAAAATTGATTAAATAAATATGATTCCAAGAAAATGATATAATTAGATAATAAGGATTAAAATCCACGAAAAAAACTTCAAGCAACTTCAAAGTTTATATGCAATTTTTTCTACATTTCTTACACTAAAAAAAACTAAATTTTAACAAATATTTTTGTTTAAATAATTCTAAATAAATATTTTTTAAATAAAACATTAATAGTTGAATAATAAGTGATAATCATATTTGATACTAAAACCATTGATTTGATTGAATTATAATTTTCTATTAAATAAATATTTATTTATTGTAAGTGTTAAAAATGGTCACTCAATATATTATAGATATATATACATATATATATAAAATACATTAAGATTTAATAAATTTTTTTCAGTGTATGTACTATTAATGAAATGGTTACAAGTAGCTTGTATGTATGTGCGATCTCCTAATGAATTAATTACATCGAGATGAGCGATGAGCTGTAACACCAGCACTTTTGTTAGTGCAATCCCAAATAAGGTGATGTCCCTCAGCGCGTAATAATGTTCCTTTTTCCACAATTGTACACCTTACTTTACACTTGCGTCGTCTTCTAAGATGGTCATCTCGACAGTTTCGATCATTGCGATATGTATGACATGCAGCTTCCACGTAGGAAAGTCGAAGACTATTTATGCAATGAGCATGACGCATAAATAGAATTCGTAGATTTTAATTTGTTAGACATGAGACAAGCTAATGACTAATCGTTCAACGAACAAATAATGGAATTGTGAAAAAGCGGTACAGCTATAATAATAATACGTCTATCCTTTATCGCTCAAAGTTCAGATTTACTCATGCAATTGCAGATATGAGAAATATTTGGAATACATATAATAACGTATAATAACACTTACTTGAAGCATTATTATAGATAAAACATGTCCAATTCTAATAATACTTTTAATTGATATATCAAGTGAAAGTTAATCAAATATTTTTTCAAGAGTAATTGAGGATAAATATTTGCATAACAAAATAAGTATCCTGAATAGTTCAAAGAGTTGAAAGAAATTATCAAAGTAAATTAGTTAGGACTTTAAATTTTTCATATTACGATTATAGCAAAATAATCTGTACCAAACTGAGAATTTAAATGATAACTTAAGTAAATTAATGAATTTAGAAAAAAACTAACATTTTACAAAAATTCGTTAAATATTAATTAACGAAATATTAATTAATTATTACTATAATTTCTTTTTTATACATGATCTTAAAATATATAATTTTTGTTTAGGTAATGCTTCATACAGTATGAGTTATTATCATTTGTGATATCATTATGCAGACGCGTTACAATATATTTTTTTATTCTATGATTCATCGATGTGCTCGCATTCGAATATCAAGTATAATTTTAATCTTATCAAGTATAATTTTAAATGCATTTACATATATTTTCAATGGATAAAGAATAAATATGCATTCGAAATAATTTATTTATATTTATTGAAATATTTTTTTTAGTATTATTATATATAATAGGATATACAAAATATGCTCGATAGAAAATAATATAAAGTAACTGTGAATTACTCATTGCTATTTATTATTACATTTTTATTTCAGGGAATGGAAGAGTTACTTTTATAGTTACTTTTACAGTTACTTTTTATAACAATGTGGTAACAATGTTGCAATTCTTTATGACTGTAATGATAACTAACTAAACGCTTAAGAGGCTAAAATTATTTTAGCCTCTTAATTTTAGCATTTAGTTATCATAGCAATCATAAAAAATTGCAACATTGTTACCATATTATTATAAAAAGTAACTGTAAAAATATAAACTCTTCCATTCCCTGTAATATTTACTATTTATATTATTTATTTATCACATTACATAACTTACACTGATTACGAGAGAAATATTTTTAGTGCGTTATTCTAATCAAAATTTGTTTAAAACAGCACAATTCTTTAATGAAGAAGTGAAAACGGTCTACATCGAGCAGTAATAAGATTTTAATATTGTTCCTGAAATTTATCAGCTAGAAATGATAATGAAATTGACGTTGATTCAACATCGAAATTATCAAATTGACGTCGATTTCATTACCATTTCTAGCTGGGTAATATAAATATGGAAAAAAAATATAAATATAAAAATTTCTCTCAGTGCATATTTATTATTTCGTTTATTTTATAAATATCGCTATTATTTAATATTTGTCATATTATTTAATTTACTTAATGTCAGTAAAACTTTTGCGGCGCTATACTGGATACAAATAAAAATGCGAAGAAATTGTGAAAGTGAAAGTAACGAAGAGAAAATATCTTTCCGGTAATTACGTAGCATCGCGATTCAAACACATCCGAAAGAAAGCTATCACATATCCTGCTATAAGACCAGATAGAGAAACGACACGCTTTGTTCATAGTGATTCATGCTTGCAGAATTGTACGATTTAACACGTACTCTTACATTTTATTTTTAACTTTAAAGTTTCTAAAGAACTTTAATCATTTTTAACTTCAGTTTCGAGAAAATCATAACAAATAAACGTATTGCGCGAATAAATGCGAATTTATCTCATAAATTTGATTCAATTATAAAAAAGAGACCTATCTATAAATTCTATATTCAAAAAAGAAAATTAAACCAAAATCTATATACTTTCGCAAAACAATAAATTATGTTGACGACGCTGGCATGCAATAATAACAGTCATGGTTTCGAATTATCTTTTATCATTGATATCGATACATTCTGATAGTCACACTTTATTTTGTAATTGCAAACACTCATCATCAGCAATGTTTTTCCGCTCGTGAACGATAAAAGAAATGCGTCCACCACAAATCAATTTCTACACCGACAAGAGTGATTTCTGTGATTCAATTTTAATAATCAATTCCCCGATGGATGTAGAGATAATCGAGGAACCTTTGAAGATTGTTATATCATTGTGATGATCGTCTCTTATTATTTCATATCGACATAGTATCGGTATTAGCAGAACGAACGAAAAATTGATAAGAAATCCACGCGCTGTTGAATTGCGTAGATTAATCGAAGCAAAAGGGTTCTTTTTACACACCTGTTGTTCTCGAAATTCAAGTCTACTGCTCGCCGTCCGTCTCGTTCGCATCGAATGTATGTCTTGACACGCCTGACTCGAGTCACGATCACGATTGTCACGATATAACGCGCGAATATATGATCGTACGTAAGCTCGCACACCGACTGTATCACGCGCGAACAATCGCCGCAAACATAGGTTCATGCGCTGTGGCGCGTGTGCACGAGCACACATCATTATTTTCCGTTCATGTATTATTTATAAGTGTGTGCGTGTTGATCAGTTAACGATTAACAACTTCGAGACTGCGAACGTGATAGACACAGAAAAAAAAAAAGCAAAAGTTACGGAAAGTGCTGAAGGATGTTTTAAATCGGATAAGACAAAACTGATAAGTTCATTATGTAAAAAAAACAGAGGAAACGTTTTTATTTAACTGAAATACTGTGTCACAGTGTCGATTAACAATTACGTAGTTAAGTACAAACGTATAAATTGCATAATGAAAAATTCCACACACTGATGAGACGTGCACACTGCAGTCGATTGTTTTCAGTTCTACGTAATTACGTTGTCGCAACTTCGTTAGAAGCAGGGTAATTGGACCCGTAATGACACATACAATAGGTCAATATTTTATTCCTGTATTCGGATTGTATTAAAACTTTCTTTCTCGCTTGCGTCAAATATCAAATATGTACCACTTTAAGAGTTTCTAAGGTGTATACTAATTCAATAACAAAAAAAAAAAACAGATTTAACATTTACTCAAGACTAGACTTCGTACTTGGACGGATTGAAATATGTAAATATAAATAATAAATATGTACAACGTGCGTTAAATTATTATTGAGGTACTCGTGCTGTTCATATCTTCTCGTAATTGTGTTCGATCTCGTACTCTCGCGCACATCAAACTGTACTCCAGCACTCCGATTCGAATATTCATCTCGGAGATTTCATTCTTCATCCTCGTGATCATTTTCTTTATATTAATAAGCGGCGCTGTAAATATACATTTTACAATATAATTAGATATTTTAACCACATCGAAATATTTTCTTTTTACATTCTTTGGAGTGGAATCTCACTCTAAAAAGCGAAAATTAAGCCAATTTTGAAAAAGAGAGTAGTTCAATGTCCAATCTTTAAAGCCGAATTTTACAATTAACCCTTAACCGAGGTTTAACTTATTTCTTATCTCTTTCTAATTCTAGAGTTGAAAAAAGATGAGAAACAAATTGAACCTGAGTTCCGTGAGTTATGAAATTAGATCTAAGAACGAGATTTACTCTAAAAAGTTTTAGAATAAATTTATACTTACTTCCGTCAGTCATACTGGAGCCTCTCTCATCCATTTCTCTCTTCACATGTTCCAACTCCTCCACTAATTTATTAAGAACTCGTGTTCGTTCAGTAACACCGCCACTAACATCTCTGTACTGTTCCTTGACTTTCGATAATTCTTCCTAGATTAATTATTACAATTTACTTTGTCATTCTGTATATGTAATTTAATAATACGTATAAAAATTTAATAATATGCATAATTATATTGAAATTAAATATAAAAACATAATATTCAATATAAAATTGAATAACTTACTTGCAACGAGCGGTATTCTGTTAAAGACGGTTCGAGTTGCTTGTTAAGATAAGTTTCCCTAGTCTTAATCTTGTCTAAAGTACTCGCGATATCGGTGTAAATTTTGTTCAAGTGAGCCTTTGTACCGCTTAGATTTGTCGCAATATTCATACGCAATTGTTTCATCTGCTCAAGATGCGCTCTCCAATCTCTTGAATCTGTGATAAAATAAAGTATGCAATAACACTCGTTTTAATTGATTTTTGTTAAAAAATATTTACTACCTGTCTTAATGGTCACTTTCAAACGAGGTAGAACTTTTTCTAATTCTAATTGCCACTCTTCCCTGTTAGTTGTAGATTCTAAAATGCTGTCCAACTTTTGCGTTTCGCTCTAAAACATAAAAAATTTAGTTAATAATTTTAATAATAATATTACGTTATTAAAAATGTTTCTTTCTAAGAATAAACTTTTTCTTACAATATTTTGTCCGTAAATTTTTGTAATATCATCTATATGTAAGATATCTTGATCGTCGTCATCATATTCGGCCATCATTTCCTCTTCCACTTTCTCCAGGATTAACTCCGCGTCGTCATCCTCTATATCCGGTTCTGGAGTAGGTTCATCAGGAGGAATATTTATCCTGTATTAATCATAATTTAAGAATTAATTTAACTTAATAAAAGTTACGATAAAAGTCAATTGTTGTACCTTTTCCATTTGAATTGTGCGATCTTTAAAGCATTATCAGCCAAGTTATCTAAAACGTAAACCGCATGTTCTCCACTGCCCTGCTTTAGTTTATTGGGCGGGAATTCCACAGGTATATCGATTTCTCTGAGATAATCTAAGATCAGAGCTATCGTAGAATTAGGATCATCCGACTCTTGTGGTATTTCAAAATTTTTTCCTGCCTTTTTTATTAGCCATGCAGCCAGGCAAGTGAACATGTAAAACTGTTCGCCCGGATTCGTTGGAACTACGAAGTGATGTCTGTGTATTTTTTAAATGTTTGAGATTATTATCTTATCAGACATTAAATAGAACATACAATATCTTACCTATTAATCGGCTTAATTTTTAATTCTTGTACAAATTCCTCGTCGTAATTTAATAACTTTAATTTCTCTAACAGATCTTCCATTCGAATGTTTATGACATACGATGCCGACGGGGCACTCCCGTCTTCCACGACGATTTTTTGAGTATCTCGAAACATGTCGTTGGCCTTTTCAAATCGTAATGAATCTGTAAAAAAGAAACTAAATTAATTAAAATAAACCCTTTTAATGAAAATACTGAATGTGATTTAATTAAACAGCTCAAATGATAATAATAATTAAGTAAAATAAAAAGTCAAGAAATCAAATCCTTAACTATTAAAATTATAAACTAAAATTGCGCTTAAAATTAATACATGTTACAAAAATTAATCTCTAAATACTTTGGAGAAGTACTCACTTTAAAGAGTAAAAATTGAGGCAGTCTTGAAAAAGTTTTAAAAAAGAATTTTTAATATTTAAGGAAACCTCTACTCAAAAACGAATTTCCTTATACTGAAATTATGGCTAAAATACTGAATGAATTGCATTTAAATTGCAATATTCATAATCAGGAAAGAGGTTTCTGAAGGCTCATACACAGCAATTTGGATAATTATTTAGAATACCCCTCCCCCCTAAAAACGTAATAAAAAATATACTCATTCAATATATTTTCACTCAAAATGAAAGAATCTAGCAAAAAAAATGCGGTGGTTGGCCTCGTGAATCGAGATATTAAGCGTTAAAACTAAGGAAAAAAATTGCCTTTGTGAGCCGTCACAAAATATTATTTGTGTATAAAATTATATTATTAAATCAATAATTAAGCGTTAAAGTTCGAGATTTTAATAGTTAAAATATTTGATATCCCAGCTTGCTGCAGCGCTGTGTATATGTAAGATCTGTTCTTTTTTGAAGATTCTGAACTAGTTCTGAATCAATCAATCAATCTTGGTGATGTAGCCTCGTCCCCGAATTCCTAGCTGGGACGAAATGGCCAGAACTAGTTCTGAAATAGTGCAATAACGAGTAAAACAAACAGCTGTGTTTCTCTTTCTCTCTCTCTCTCTGTCAGTCTAACTTATTGCAGTTATTGTACTCCTAAAAATAAATATTCTCTACCTTAATTACACAAATTCTCTTGGCTATACAAACACAAATTTACTGCTTTAAAAATTAATATAAATTCAATGCTTTAAAAACATCACTGCCTGAAACACACACAAAAATCACTGCTTTAAAGACACAAATTCACTACTATAAAAACAAAAATTCACTGTTTTATACACACAAATTCTTTACATTAGCAGTAAATTTATGTTTCTAAAGCAGTGCATTTTTGTTTTTAAAACAGTGGATTTATGTTTTTAAAGCAGAATTTTTGTATTTTTTAAGTAGTAATTCTTCTAGATTATTAACCGATAGTAACAAGCGCTCACGGATCCGCTTAGCACAGTTGAGTTCAGTTTGCTGACTGTGACCATTTATAAGTCAGGTTGACAGATATTTTAATTTCTACACTCTCGAATACTGTGCTCGAACTTTAACACTTAATATCTCGGCCGCTGCATTTTTTTTGCCAGATTCTTTCATTTTTAGTGAAAATGCGTTGAATGTGTGCATTTTTTTATTAAGATATTAAAGAGGGGAAGGGTATTTCAAATAATTACCAAAGTTTTCAAACTTTTCTGAAAAATCGATAGTTTTCACGACAAAACATCGTGCAGCTGTCAACAAGTTCGACCATCAACGAGATACTATAAAGATGGTCGGCTCTTTAATAGTTGCGTGAGAGCCCCACAAAACTTTTGCTGGATTCACACTGCATCCGATGTGCGTCGTACGACGACTTTGCAACCAATCAGAAAAATCATATCGTCGATGCGAAGCAAAATCCTGTTTTCCAATTGGTTGCAGATTCGTCGTACGACGAAAATCGGATGCAGTGTGAATCCAGCATAACGCATAGTACATAAGGCCGGAATCGCATTGAAAACTGAATTTTGGCTAATCGAAATAATAGGAGCTAAAATTCCTTTATTGATTTACATAAGATGCTCATTGGTCCAGCGGTCTTAAACGGGGAGCACAGACTTTTGCATAACGCATAAAGCATGTGCATAAGGAATTTCATTGGTCCATTTTCTTATGCATGAGTCAATGGACCAATCAAATTGTTTATGTATATGGTTTATGCGTTATGCAAAAGTCTGTGCTCCCCGCTTAAGAGTTAACCGTGGGTTGTGAAACTGCCTTAAGATTTTGAAACGCGCCTTGCGTGCATCGCGTCGTATTTCATTTTTTACAAGAGTGCGAAAGCGTACCACTAGATGGCCATTATCCGAACGTTAAAATTCTGGTATGTCTGATTTTTAGATAATAATTGTAAAATTTATATTAACGACAAGTTAAGATATTTCATGTTGATTGAGATATTTCAAGGAATGCTCGAGACTATGTTTGAATCGTAGCAAACACACTTGAGACATCAGAGAGGGAAGTGATCGATTTCTCGCATGTGCTTTAGAGCTGATGTATTCCGTATATATAACGCCTGGAAAATGTTATCTTGTGGAAGCGTGTGCTAGTGATGGCACAACTGAACATTGATCGCTAACGTAGAGCTATGGCAGATCTGCTCAGTGGGTGTTGTCACGTTGTCGTAAGCTTCAAGTAGCTTTGAGTGTCAGACTCCCGATTGCGCATGCATCTTCGTGGCTTGTCTCTTACGACCACGGATTTGCACGCCTGCACGGTCTGAGTCTTCACGTCACTCCTCGAAGTACCGCGATTTCCAAATTGGGGGGCAATCGAATAGGTCAGACGAGGTAATTTGTCGCTTCCATATGCAGGCACTGCTGATGGCGGTACGCCATTTTTTGCCCTTTAAGTCTTATTTTTATTTATAATATAACTTAGTAGTTTTTTCTAGCTTTTTTTAACTCCAATTTTACTTGTCTCATGAAATCTTTGAATTGACTATTCGAAAAAAAAGCTAGGAACCAAGTAAATTCTTTAATGTTAGGCAGTAAAAAATTCGTGACCTCAACCAGACAATTTTTATTAATAAAAAAAATACATTTAATTTGAATTTATATTAATAGGGAATTAAGTGACTGACAGCTATTTTTATTTTTTTAAAAGAGAAAAAATGTTACACATGTTTATAGACTTCGATTTAAGAAATTAAACTGCGACAATGATTACATTAATCTCTAAGATTGTTTCCAAGTTATGAGAGAATTGATTTAAATTTCAAATAATATCGCACCTCAACAAATGATATAATTGAGAATGTTGTTATATATTTGTAAGAAATTTTCGTTTTTATTTCAAAATACAAAATGCTTCGTCAAGCCTCGATCTTTTTCTGCGTTTCGCTATTAATCTCCGAAGAAATTTGTGTAAAAAGAAGATTCCAATTCCAAACTTCGTCCGGTTCCTTCACTAAATTCTCATTGTACAGTTTGTCTGCAAGGAGAGAAAGGCTGACTCCATCCAATGATGTATACGCAGCATTTTTTACCAGATCAGTATCCAATTCCTCGTACGCAGTCACTCTATTTACGTTGACTCTGAAAATTATACATCACTTGAATTCATCCCGTAATACATTATTAAAAAAAGGAACTTTTTCTTTACTGAAATAAATAATAAGTTAGTCATATGATCATGTAATGTATCATATATAAAATAATAATAATACGACTTAATAAGAATAAAATTCAAAATAAATTAGAAGGGCTCCGAGCCAAGATATATTTCATTTGAAATATAAAAAAATAAAGATAAACAGAGTAAAAATACAAAAATAAAATTATAAACGTTATAAATAGACGTTTCGACATCGATCGGGTCATTATTAATGTTACGTAAATGTATATTATTATGATAAAAACATAATATATAAAATTATAAACATACGTGGTCTGATAAATCGAAAGATATAAAATTTACAAAAATAAATGGTATATATATATATATATATGTATATAAAGTTACTTTGTTCCCTTTATATGTTTAACTGTCGACAGTTTTAAATCCTGATAATGTTCAGCGTTTTGCTGGTTGTCATTATACATGTAATAATTGTCACGGAAAAATATTATTTCTTGAATAACGTGTGAGTCAAAAATTAAAATTAAAACGTAGTCAAACGTGAATCAAATATTAAAATAATATGACACTGTACAATTTATGGTCAATGAAAATATGAGATAAAATGCAACAAAAGTTAAAGATAGACCTTATCTCATCAGTGTTATCGTTATTATAAATAAATATATAATAAATAATATATTATAATTAAAAGAGTAACATACATAACTTCCGTAAAATAAAAATATTTATAATTGTTTACTTTCAGTAATCTTTCTCTCTTTCTATTATAAAGAGAATAGACTAATTATTATATTTTGTGTAAATTATAACTATGAATTACCTACCTATGCAAATTTCATACACAAGAATTTTATTATAATTTTTTTCATAGAAATCTGAAATAAATTAAAATAAAAACAAAAAATACTTACGTAGGAGCACTTGCAATGTCAGATGAGATATTATCTTCCTGAATTTCATCCAAATCTGGTATAACTGGAATATCTACAAATGCAAAGATCAATAATATAAAGAATTAGAATGATAAAGAAATATTTAAATTTTTCTATATCTATTTCTATCACTATTGACAAATTACATTAATAAACAATTGATCTAAATGAGAGATAAAATTATTAATTAAATATAATTGGATAATATACGAGCTCTTAATATTGTTTGTCCCAAATCAGCTCACCATCTTCTTGCTCCTCCTTTTCAATCACTCGAAAACGTTCCCTAAGAAATAGGTTCGTCAATAGCTAGATATATTTAATTATTCGCTTTTATGTATTGTACTCACTGTTCAATGATGTTTGACGTTGTCTTTGATCTGTACAATGAAAAAAGAATTTTTTAACTGGTTGTACTTAAACATTAACAAATTTATTTTAATTCATTCATATATATAATTGTCTAATGTAAAAGGATAAGTAAAAATCAGATAAATAAACAGATAACGCTTTATCACATATATTCAAATAAATATACTCAGAGACAGTAATAAAGCTTTCATTATAGGTAATAGAAAATTTTAACAAATTTTTTTGGATATATTGAACCGTGAGAGTTTAACTAAATGAAAAACATGCCGTAACAGTTAAGCTGGATCTAGGATGCTTCTAATTTATAATTTTGTGTGAATTTATATATTATGTAAGTAGATTCTTAAATGCGCGCCTTTTCTAAATTTAAATTTTTGTTTATTTTTTACGAAAATGTATAAATTTTGAATAAAAAAAGTGAAACTAACTTTTCAAACAATTAATATAAATCAAACACGAGCCTAAAATATAAATATACAATACAAATTTTTGGATGTCCTTTATTTCTTTTTTTAGTGCAATTAACCATTTATGCAGTAAACTTTTTAATCTTTTTCCAAAACACTAGAAGTCAATGAAAGTAAATAGAAGAAATAGATAGTAGAAGTCTGCTGCAATCACAAACAGTGCCATTGTAGATAAATGACAAAATAAAATCTTATTGGATCTGTATTAATAATTTACTTACTTGCCACTTTTTAATTCATCGCCCCAGCCGGTTTTCCTCGACCTAGGTGGAACTATTGGTCTTTGCATAGATATAGACTTTCCGGATGATAAGGAAATAGGACTCTCCAAAGGATCGTCATCAGATTTATTATCTTCCAACAAACTATTCTGACCTGCACGTCTACCTAGACGAGGTAGTAGCTACAAATTGATCAACGCACTTTGTATTTAAATTTAACTGTAATAATTATTTAGAACTCCTTAAAACTATCATATCTTAGATAATTGACACTTTCTCATTGATAATGTAAGAACTATAGGAATTTTTGGGGAAGCTTTTTAAAGACCTACCTTTTTCGAAGTGATCTCAAGATCGTTGGCCCAATCCATCTTTATTTACGCAGAATTAAAACATGCGTCGAAGAATCAGGTGATTGCTCCTGTATTGTAACTTGAGGCACTTTAAGTCAGACTTTACGGTACATTTGACAAGTGTATGGCTGCTGAGCGCTGCTTATATTTGCAAGCGGTATAGCGGTAACCATGACGACCGACCTTATTCCTGCATATACATACATTAGTAGCGACATAATAGATTTTACATGTGTATAGGATAAATATACGTATGTATATATGTGTATTACACGGAAAAATTGAAAATTGCTTGACTTGCTGTGTATATCTTAGAACATATTGATGATTTCAACGTCGAATCGACATCAATTCGATGTCGACTTCATTATCATCTCTCACTGGAATTGGAGCGCCCTGATATTTTTCTAGCAAAAATCTGTGCGAGAGAGAAAGGTAGTAACGGATAAATGTTGGTAAAGCGCATGCGTTTGTTCCTCTTCTATGTTTTTCTTGATATGATTGGTCCAGCTCCAGGTTTCGGAGTAACAGAACAAATGTGGCCAGTGTTTCTCAGACACTTCTAACCTTCCGCAGTGTTCCACAGGAGTCCCCAGAGAAGAGAGGAAGATAGTTGAGACAGGACTACATCGAAAAAGTGTGATCAAAATCTGGTTTCTGGATTAGTACTGGTGGTGCTCGATAGACGGTGTTCGAATACTTCGAATCACAAAACTCCTCTCAAAACCAAACACACACACATTTATCGAATAAACAAAAATTTGTTCTAGAAAGAGAGAGAGAGAGAGAGAGCGCACATAGTTGTTATAATGTTGTTATAGAAATATTAGAACTTAAGATGACTTAATCAAAGTGTAAATTTTATGTTCATGTAAATGCAAACCTTTCGTGTAGAACTTTGAACATTAATTGTTTTATTCTTTCAACCATATGTAATATTCATTATTATTTTTAGCACTTATATGTCTGTCTCAGTTAAACAATTGTTTAATTGGAAAACATGTAGGGCGATCTTTGTTTTAAATTCATGAAACGGGGTATGTCAACATTATCGTAGACTTTATATCACACGCGTGCGCGCACACAAACACACACTTGTCTTATAATCAGTAATAATTCCTATATATATTATATTGTATTGTGTTACATTATTTTATATTATCTTATGTTATATTATATTATCTATTATGTTGGCTTCACTTTTATCATAAGATAAAAAGCATGCTGGGTCTGTCTTATAAGTCTATGATGAAAATTTTTAAGTTCATTTGGGCCAAATAAAAAAATGATCATATTTATAAATAGAATAACATTGAAATAAATTCTTTATTTTCAGGCGACAGATAAATTATTACAAACAATTTTAATATACATTGTATGTTATTTGCAACATTTTTTTTAATTTTATGTAATAATAAATGTTATAAGTTATTGTCGGTTAAATATAATAATTAATGCACAGAATAACAATTTAAGTTATTAGCTTTTTCACTAAAAGAGAAAAATGTAAAAAAAATGTCAACATTATACGGTGTTCCCAAGCGGTCACCCATCCAAGTACTAACCGTACCCAACGTCGCTTGACTTCAGTGATCGGACGAGAACTGGTAATTTCCGACGTGGTATGAACGTTGACGAATGTCGTATTTCTTATTAATGAATGCTATCGTCCATATAATTTTATTATTTCGATAATATTATTTCTAAAATTTTTTATATATTCACAAGCAAAAAACGGGCCACTAAAACAAAAGTAGTACAAATTTTTAATATTTTCAAACAGCGATAACTGAGTAAAGACCCAGCATGCTTTTTGTCTTATGATAAAAGTGAAGCCAACATAACAGATAATATAATATAACATAAGATAATATAAAATAATGTAATACAATACAATATAATATATATAGGAATTATTACTGATTATAAGACAAGTGTGTGTTTGTGTGCGCGCGCGCGTGTGACATAAAGTCTACGATAATGTTGACATACCCCGTTTCATGAATTTAAAACAAAATGTCGAACGGAAAAGCAGTAATCAAGAATGCTGAAATATTAGAAAAAAGCACGATGCTATTAATAATATGTTATTCAAGTTCTCAAAAATAATATTAAAAAAGATGTCATGCAACTAGAAAGAAAGGATTCATTGAAAAGTATAACTTAAAAATACAACGTGCATTGTGGAACTAATAAATAACAACGTATAATATTCAGCTATAAGATATATGAAACAAGAGATTTTATTTATTTTTACCTTGGTTATAGCTATTTTCCTAAATATAAATTATAAATGAATAATACTTATGTGTGGAACACCATGTAATATTGCACATAATATTTTTATTTCTCGCGTTCTAAAAAAGTAGCTTGGGATTTCGTTAATATCCCATCGCTGCTTAATCAACTAGTAATTGTAACATCTATGTATCATTATGCGAAAAAAGAAAATAATTTTATGTGGCGAATAGCACACGGTATTCTTTATATGATTTTTTTCAACATGGTATATTAATACAAAACTAGAATGTAATATACGAGAAGAGATATATTTAATGAAATAAGAAATAAAATAAATATAAATCTTTCAGACTACTTTCTTTTGGGAACACAATTGAAGTGGAAATCAGGCAAGTTATTGCTCTTTTTTGGTACAATTGCGACAGTATCGTGTGTCTCAATAATCTTTCGCACTTTCCACTTGATGTTGATACTCTTCATCATCCGGATTTATCTCGCAGTCATTGCCGTTATTGGGTATTCTCACTTCGTTATATCTGAAAATATCAAAAATATGTAAGATGAAATACCATTTCTAAAGGATTATATACAAGAGTAAATCATATCGATGATAATAAACATTCTATTATGACTGTTCGATCTTGTTCATTAACGATGCGTACCCTATCAGCTCTGTATGTCTTATTATATAGAGTAGAATTTTCATTATATTTAATTTTAATTCTTAATGTTAATAAACAGGGATAATATACAATCTTGTTATAAAATATCATTTTCTTTGACTTTTATGACGTGAAAAAAGTGATTTTTGGCTACAAAATTTGTCTGTTTACTAACTTTAAACTTTATGAAAATAAAGTCATTTAGATATAATTTTGATAGACTTTTGTGTATTGACTGTTGGGTGAGAGTACGTACCTCGTGAAATCACCCTTACAAAGTCGCCAAGGCAACAAGTCGATCTTGTCGTGCAGCAGAGGTGAGATATCCGGACTGACGATGTACGGTGTGCCGGCGCCGGAGCCACGGGTCAGTAGTTTTCTATTCTCATCGTAGCAACAGTGTTGCACGATAGCGCTCTCACTTTGTTGAGATGCTAGAGTCTGCACGCAATAAATGGCACCAGGTTTGTAGATCTCGAGCCGGTCCTTGTCGTGGCTCACATCGCGCCATCGAAACTTCTTCTTTTGCTTCTCGTCCCAGATCTGGTTGTCGTAGAAGATGGTGTTCGGATACAGGCAAGGACACGCTGGCAAGTCGGCGACGGATCCTGCGGACACGCACACCCACACAAACACACGTCGAACGTCGTCCACGTACTCTCACCAAATGCATTTGGTGAGCTCGATTTATGAAGTTTCGTTTTTACCCGGAAAGGCATTCTCGATCTTCTCCCTGTTGTCCAGCCACTTCTGACAGCGATCTTCATCGTCGAAGCTGCTCATGTCATCAATGGCACTCGAGTTCCACACGTCGGGATTCGACACGTTCGAATTCGATGCATTCGAATTCGACATGTTCAAATTCGACACGTTCGAATTCGGTGCATTCGAGTTCGACATATTCAAATTCGACACGTTCGAAATCGACGTGTTCGAATTCGACGTGTTCGAATTCGACACGTTCGAATTCGACATGTTTGAATTCGACACATTTGAATTCGACACATTTTCTGCAGTATTGTTCTCCAGCGCTTCTTTTAATTTTACCAGGACAGCCTCCAATCCTCCGTGAAACGGATAATTGTCAAAAATTCCGCTATGAGGTATATCGTCCATGACATCGTCGTTTTTGTTCTTGTGATTCCAAACATTAACGCTCTCACGTTCACGCCCTTCCTCATAAAAACTGCTCTCGGGAATTTTTACGACAGGTGGAACGCGATCCGTCTTTCGCCGAGTTCCTTTACCGCTCTTGCGAGGACGATGCGTCGGACGATTTCTGGGCCGCGATCGCGAAGAATTAGTTCTCTGTCTGTGTTTGTTACCAGCTTTTTCCTTGAACGGAACGGATGTCGTCGAATTATCATTGTGTAATTTCGTACAATTTTCCTTACATTCGACATCTCCCGCCTTCGTAGAAACTTGAGCCTGAAAAACAGAAAATGGTGAGTTCAGAAACATTTACTATTGCATCGCGATTATCAGGATACTAAGGCGGGGAGACGCTATTAGCGCTATTTGTGTCATTCTATCTTCATCGTCCATTATATAGATGTGAGACAATGATAGTACCTACACAAATAGCGCTGATAGCGCTTTGCCCGAACGCAGCCTAATTGTAAGTTCTATATGATCCCGAATATAAAATCACGAGTGATTATAATATTAAATCAAACGACGAATTACCTTATATAATTTTCTCTTTCTATATTTTTTTATATTTGTGATAAGACTTAATATTAATTAAGATATTTAAGGGCGGTATTCATAGTCCGTTCTTATTTTAAGACCGTCTTAAATAATGTCTTCAAATGCTAATGCAGCTGTCTGATTGGTTCATGACACCTCAGAACAGAACTTAAGACGATCTTGAATATAAGAAATGACTGTGACTATTATTTTCAATGCCAAATTATGCCGATTAATTGAAATATTTTCTGAAATTAAAAATTTTTTGTAAAGCCTAAAATCACACACGACGTCTTTAATCCTTAATTGTAGCTTAAATACGTATTATATTAGAGGATGTAAGGAGTCTTTTAGGAATACTTTCAAAAATCTGAAAGAAAGGCGCTTTCCTTTTAGGAGATACAGGCTACGGTCTATTTGATACTACGAATGCTTTGAAGCATTTTTTGATTGGTCAATTAGTATAATTCTTTCTTCTGATTGATCAATCAAGAGCTTCGAAGTATTTACAGTGTCAAGTGAATCGCACTCACGCAGGTGCTTTTCGCCGGGAAACACACTGTGACCGATTCATAGTTGATTTTTAGATTTGAAAGAATGTCTTATAAAATGTCATAAACTAATCAGAGAGGGCTACATTACATCTTAAAACATTATATTTAAGACGGTTTTAATAAAAATGAACTATGAATACCGTTACTGTGAATATTTTCCATTTAGTGACACAAGTCAACACAAGTTCTATCTTTATTACTCACTGAATCCTAACAAAGAAAGATGCTTGCACCAGTCACCACCCCGCCTGTGTTTCTACAGTTGGAAAGCACAAACGTCGTTCCATCCCTCTTGGTATTCAACGAATAATAAAAAAACGATACTATATGATCGACTCTATTGCTACATTTATATTTTACATGGCATTTTTAAGTTAAAACCGGCTAATCACGCAGTTATTCCATTCTTCAGAGAAGTAACCGTAGTTTCGATAATTACGAATGTTGTTAAATCCGACTAAGGGTATTGTGTAAAATGTAGTCATATTTTCGTAGAAGGAAAGATAACGATGAATGCAACGAGACACGCAGAATATCTGTTTATCCCGAGCTGCGTAAGTAAATGCGATCACCAGGGGTACGTATCATGCCTCGCGCGTATCAAGTAGCGATCCATCAAAACGGAGAGATCGATGACCGGCGTGACTACGCGCGATATACGTAAAAGGCTGACACGGTCGACAGCGACATCAAAGGACGCCGGCATTTGACGCGTGGATAAGAAGAACGCGGAGGCGGAGAAGAAGAGGGACGACGATCACCGGGAGCGAAGGGGCAGAGCGTTTACTTCTGAGAAACGGCACGCCGCAAGATCGTTTCCCGTCAATGGCGTAGCCGCCTGTTGGTAGCGAGACAGATTTCCGAATACACCGAGCGAAAATGACAAGTGGAGTGGTCAAGTAATAATACAAGAACCAAACCGCGAGTCCTCGCCGCCATGAATACTTTCGGGTAGTTAATGTGCTTGAATTTTTTAATGTGGAAATTTTCAAAACGTTGAAACTGCAAATGTCGTTTGGAACCAATAATTTTTTTACGTGTGAGTTTTTCAAGAAAATCGGGATCTTCAATATTTCGAACAGTTGAAAAAATCAGGAAGTCTTTCTCTTTCTCTTTTAGAAATGTTCAAGCAAATCATTTAAAATTGTTGAAAGTAAAACTATTATCTTTACATTTAATAAGGGGGACGAATTGAAATGATATAATGTAAAGTATTACGAAAGTAAACATCTTTGAATTATTAAAAACTTTCAATATATTTGAGAGTTTGTTTAGATACTTCGGGCTTTTTACAATTTCTTTGTTTCAAATATAATAAAGATTTTCTGCGTTATCCAAAGCGCTTCCATCATATTGTTCTTCTTGAGCTCATTGTTAACTTTAAATATAGATATAGACTTCCGCGAAAATTTTAATGTGTTTTTTAAAACACAGTTGATTATAAAACTCTATTTATGTCTATTGTCTTTGTTAAAGAACTTTTTCCTGAGACAGGAATAAAAATAGAGAAATGGAGAAAGAAAGAAAAACTTGATTAATCACTAACAAATTGGAATTATTATTATAAAGTAATTTATGAAAAAAAAAAATATATATATTAAAAGAGAAGAGAGATAATAATTTGAATAATTAATAATAATATAAGAGTAGGGAAACACACACACATTATAAAATAATGAAGATATTATGGCTTAATAAATTAAAAATAAGATATAATATAAAGGCTACGAGCTCAAAATATATATATTAAATCAATAACAAAACACTACATAAAAAGAATACATCGAGACACTGTAATCGTAATCGAAAGATATTATAAATAAATTATTGCAAAAACAAAAGATTAGTAAACAGACGTTTCAACTTTGCTCGGATCATCTTCAATGTTTAAACGTATAAATTCAAATAATACAACATATATAGCGAACCTTATAAAATAGTGAATTTAATTTTTGCACCCTTCACAGCTGCATTACAAAAGATGTTTGCGATGTTGTAATTAACATTTTGATAATAATCTTATTAAGTCGGAGTTTTAGTAACGTTCAAATAAAATGACTATATAAAAGTAGAGTTTGGTAAATTGATGCAATTGCAATCCATCGCAAAAATTCTTTAGAACGAGATAACAGAAAAACGGAGCTAATCTGCAAACAAGGAACTCGGAATCTGAGAGAAAACGAGATATTAACTTATAATTTTTCAATTATATAAAAAAAAAGATGAAATCAGATGACAGCTTCACCGAGGACAACTCTCCGATCGTAGATGATCTCCGATCGTAGTTTCGAGGAAAGGAATTGTCTTGATCAATCGTTTGACTCATATATACTTACTTCGTCGCAATCCTTGTCGTGCGAAGCCACGAAGATCGAGTGAAAAACTGCCGCGATGCAAATCACGAGCAGCGCTTTCATTTTGTCGCTCTAGGCACCGATCTCGACAGGACAGTGGCGTTCCACTTCTCAGCTATCCTCGACCTTTCGAACATAACTGACGTGCCTTCACAATCGATACCCAAATACACGGCAAATCACTCTCGGGGCATCTGCTCGCTTTGTTTACCATTGGGACGTAACGTCCCGATTTTTCTCGTCGTCGATCCGACGGACGGACGACCGGTTTGACGAACTTGGGGAAAATCAGCGTCTGGTTTAGGTTTGTTTACCAGCCGCATTCCACGCGCGTGCAGGTAACAAATACCGCCGACGTAGATGTACGCGCCGCGGGGAAGCGAGCCGACCGATGACGCGTGATGTAAGACGGACGATAGGCAAAAGAACGAAGAGCTGAGAGGGTTCGGAAAGATCTCGAACGGGGGGGAAAGGTAGGCGCACGCGGCGCACACCGTTCAAAGGCCTACCGCTAGGCGCATAGTTGTGAACCGGTGAAGTCTGTCCCACTGTAACAGCCGGCGATGGAAACGACGGGAAGGTAAAAAAAAGAGAGAGAAGAGGGAGAGAGAACGAGATAGCCTAGCCTGACAGCCCTGATGACGGTGACCCACCCGGGACATCACCGCGTGTCGTCGTTGGATATGCTATGACGTACGCTCGTCTGCATTAACCCTCAATTATGGACGTGGAGTTGCCGCGGGACTCCTGCCACTTATTTCGCAATTTTCTTCATTTTTATCTTTCCTTTTTTTCGAGATAAACAGATGATATTCTCTGTATGGTGAAACGTACAAACGAATGCAGCGACTAATACGAGAGCAATTCCTTTTATTTTTCCTTTTCCTATCATTTTTTTCGACTTATTGTTGGATTAGAGTTAATAAGCTATAAAGCTCGTTTTCTACATATCTTTCTTTGCTTCTTATTGATTTGTTTCTTGTTAGCCTTCCTTTATTTTGCTTTTGATGATCTCATTTGCTCTGCCAATCCCAAAACTTTTCTTATATTCTCTTCCGAATAATAATCGATTTCTCTCTCTCTCTCTTCTCGTCGTAGGACCCTACTAATTAAGTCTTGTAAAGATTCCGTAACATTTATTTATTTTGATCTCGTAAGCTCTGATAATTCAGCTAGTAGCTCATGATAATTTACAGTTGTCACATCGAATCTGTGTATTACCTGTGATCTTCTAAAATTTACCCGTCAAGCGTGATGGAGAAAGAAGGGATGTACTTAAAATCTTTTATCTAAAACTCGAATCTGACAGACTGATGTCAATACCTTGTAACTTTAATTTCGATTTAACTTATTTTTCATATTCTTCTAGTTATAAGAGTTATGTATGTTTCTATCGATGTAGATTAATTTCAATTGCAGTCCAATTTGTTTTTTTTCTAATTTTTATAAGTAGAATGAGATAAAGGATGCTTTCCGATAAGAGACATAGACGACACAGTAAGTGTAAATTGAACTAATATTGATAGAAACGGAGATTAAAAAAGATAAAAAATAAATTAAACCGAGTTTAATCAAAGTTAATCTTATGTTGATAGAAATGAAAGTAGCATTTAGCGTTGATTTATGACAGATAGAAAGTTTCAAATTTCGTTTTGAATACATACGTAGTATATAGTAATGAATTTCCTTGCATCATTATTGTGTCACTACATCCAAATCTTTCAGCAGTCACACGAAGTGCTCCCCAAAATTGTTCGATTACGATTTCTCTTGAGTAGGTATATATAATATACCTATATTTGTGCGTGCGGGAGTGTTTCGCGTGTGTATTACGAAGATCTAAATACAACGGTGGAATGCAGCGGAACGCGTTCCGGCTATTTTTAGCAGGGCCGATTCGAAAATACACCCACTGCGGATTAAATATAGCCAGGGATATGCATGCGTGCACGCGGAATGCACGCGGCGGCACGCGAACGATCTCGGGGTGTCGCGCGGAATGATATGCAAATTCGCACGGTGGTGTCCTCTCAGACTTCGCATTGCTACTCCGAACAATAAGTATTGAAGAATAATCACTCTGAGCGATAAGTAAGACAATCTCAAATATAAGAATCGATTATGAACACCGGCCTTTGGTCGATTTTTGCGTTTGAGATTGTCTTAAGTATACCAATAATAAGCTGCGTACCATTTAATGCTCGCAACGCTCGTGGAATCATTTCATCCTTGTTTGTTCGATATTAAGTTAACTATAAAATTTTCAGATGCATCACAAAACCATCCTTTTCGCTTAATGCAATAAAACCCGTACATGTTTCCTTAAAGAAAATGCTACAAGACGATCTATTATTTATTGCAACTTTTCAAAGAACTACATACGTCAACGAAAATTGAAAAAATTTAAGTAATTAATGCTCGACAATAAATAATTGTATATTTCGTAGAACATACAACGTAAAATATGTCATGTTTAGAGAGAGAAAGAAAGAAAGAAATTACAATACGCTTTTTCAGAGAAATGTATATTTTTTCCATTGTAAATTATGCTTCCACGCATTTTTACGGAAATGAGGAGAGGGGCTGGAGTGTGTGTGTGTGAATGAATATAAAATTAAGACTAAATAATGAGACCCCTCGTGGCCCTCGTTACGCTGGCACGTGTATACTAAAAACGAAGAAGGTCACGGTACACGCGAGGGGGAAACGAAAACAAGCCGGGGTACGAAGTGACGTTTTGTCGAGCGAATACGCCGCGTGATCACGCGTGATCGCCTGTAATTTTGTTCAATCTTGCGAAATTGCGCGATTTCACCGCGGGACAATTATTCAATCGAGATTATTGATCGCGTCTTATTTTACTCAATCTCCTAGGGTCGCAGGTCGAGGCCGATTATGACGTAATAAAAATCCTGTGGGATTTACCGTTGGAAGAAACTGCGCATATTCTTCGCGAATAATCGCAAAAACGATCACGTTTTATTGCCATGCTCTTTTTCTTAATCCTCAGCAACGCCACGTAACGTGGAAATTATTATAGTATTTATACATCTATAATTTTTAAGTGTCCAGAGAAATTTATGTCAATGATTACATTCACGAAAAGCTATTTTAAAACTGTCGTTAGATACTTTAATATAATTGGTTTATACACTTGGATCCAATGAGGAACTAAGAGCAAAACGATCGTATAAAGAATCTTATCTTAACTGCGTCAAAGTGTACAAAACTGCTTAAGTTTTCTGTTCAATGTAACCAAGGTTTCTCATTTATTGGTCGTATAACAAGCAGAAAAATCTTTTATGTGGAATTGAAATGCGTTTTTTTTATTCAAGTATAGGTAATATACACGAGCAACTTGTAGCGATCGAGCGAAGCCCGGCTAGTATAATAAGTGATATCTCTCGCATTCCACGACTGTAATCATTTCTACAATCCGAGAGGCGCTGCGCCCGTCGTTGACGATCGCTGTTGTTGTCAGCCGGTTTGCCTCCGTAAATTATATCCCCGCAATTTTCGCTCCCAACGAAAATAAGTTGGGTGGTTTTCAGTCGAGGACGCGCATCGTGACGGCACAATAAAAAGACTACGACAATGTGCTGTGCATATTTCGCAGAATTAAAATCTGATCTGCAATATTCTTTGCTTTCTGTTCCTTATTTTTTTACTACTTCTTACATTTTACCTTTTGCGTCCTATCTTGATTCTTCGTTTTTGGTTGCTCAAGATAAAAGTTGACAAACATACGTGACAATATAAGATACATGATTGTGTCGAGAACGGTTGCAAAGAGAGAAAAAGGCAAGAAGAAAGAGTATAGCAAGAAATAAAGAGCACATTGTAGATCAGGCTTAATCTCACGAGATTGTTGAGCTTCTTCTTTCGGGAGATTCTCTTCATCTATAATACATATGGAGTGCAAGGGAGGGATTGGCGGGATTCGCGGTGATCATTCGTGTCACAATGAGTATCACTTTATCGCTTGAGTATCATTTTATTCCTTGTTTTTTTTTAAGTTTTTTAAATTTTCGCTATAAATAAATTCGGATTGTGATGTGTTGGTGTTTATATATGTACACGCATAGTTGGGCATCACTCGCGTCTAATTCTACGTTTACAATTATTAGCTATAATTTAACGGCGCCACAGTATATTATCTCCTCTCTCTAACAGTGTACTAATCAGATATACTTTATTAATCATACATGTTATTAATTCTACACGTGATACTACTAGCACTTGGGAATGTTCTTATATACAAAAGTAGCTGCGAATGGCGTGTCGATTACAGAATCATCACCTTCGGGACTAACAACGTTAAGAAAATTCTCCATTAATTCATTAAAGTCCGTAATTATATAAGACTTGAGTTAGTAAAAAAGATCACGTATTATGAAAATGTTCGGAATGAGTTCCGATCTAAATTAATCTGTTTTCCTAAGAAAAAAATAGCATAATATAAATATACTCTCTAAATTTGTAGTGAAAAATCTCACTTTAAAGAATTTTCATTCTTTTCCAAGAATGATAGAATTTTCAATTTTTAAAAATAAGATTTAATTCTTTGGAGTAAAACTCCATTTCAAAAAATTTAAAGAGTAAGGAATAAATGAACAATGTCAATTGGAATCCAGTCCAATTCCATAAATAATACGTGCTCAAGCCGCTGTTGTATCGAACTCTTCAATGAAACAGTCAAATAGGAGAATCAAGCGCCATCGATCAATAGCCTGACTATTATTTACAATGAGAACGAATTACTTCATAATTCTTTAGCTGCCAGAAAAATGAGCTAACCATCAACTTGTTTATTCTATGCAAATTATGGAAACATTGTTCTTCAAAACTTTATCTCCATCTTGTGTATTACAATACAAATCTCCATTTCTACTTCGATAGCTTATTGTTATAGCGATAGTTTTCTTTAGCGCAACAGAAAAGAATTGATCACGAATGAGATCTAACAAGCCTAGACTTATTTTCTCTATATTTACCTCTTTCTTCCCTCCTTTAGGAGGAAATCACTGTTTTCTTCACACACATCAGCGTTCGATCATGGCCGTCTCCTCGGAATTAGGTTTCCCTCTCTTAACGACATCCGCAATGGTCCGCGATCATGTCTTCGTACATCTTGAGCACAACGTTCTCGTTGTCGTCGTAGAAGAGAATGCTGGTGCTGAGCAGCTTGGTCGGCACGCAGCACGGCCTGTCGACATCCTTGGCCAGCTTGTGTACGATCGCCTGTATCGTCGCATGATTCGTCGGCCGCTGGTTCTGGCTGAGGGGTGGCTCGCAGACGCCTTTGCACTGGTACGCGGAATAGCCAGCCGGCGCGATTATAGAGGATGACAACCCGATGTCGTGGAAGTCCACATAGAGCTCGTGCCTCGTGCACTCCTCGGTCGCGTTCCCTGACTGTTCCGATGCCAACAAGTTCTGGCCGTTCGTCGATCGCGCCGGTCGACGTCGTCCTCTGTTCCTCGCCAACTGTTCCAGCTTCTGGCGTAACGTCGCTCTCTTGTAGATGTCCTCCGACTTAACCGACTCGAACAACGGTAGCACTTTTCGCGAGCAACTGTTCGACAGGTTACAGGAGGTTATTCTAGAGGACGACGCGTCGCGACGACGACGGCGTCTCGTCGCTTCTAGAGGATTGCCGTAACGAGATGCTTCATCCTTTTTCTCCTCCTCCTCCTCCTCCTCTTCACGTCTTTTCTTCTGCCGCTGGAAAAATTCCTGCTCGCGTCTGTTTACCAACAGAACCTCCTCGGGCTGACCGTCACCTTCCTGTTGTTTCTTGTGCCTCCTGTAGTGTTCGTCATAGTCGTTCTCCAGATCGATCCTCTCGCTCTCCGCATTTTTCTCGTACACTGGACTTTTTTCACGATTCTCTACGTTGTCATCTTTTCCGTATGCGTAATAGCGCGGCGCGATTACCGATTTTTCACTGGACTGATCATTATTATCATCGTCGAAGAGCACCAATATCGGTTGCTTGCTATGGTAATAATCGTTTCGACGGGAGAACTCCACCGATACCTCGTCCTGGAATAGATCCTGAGTTGTCACCAAAAGACCCATATTCGGTTCACCGCTCATCCAGTCGAGGACAGCTTGCTTCACGTTGAATATCTGTACAAACACTATTGTTGTACACTATTGTTATCCAACGATATGTTAAATATATTTAGTAGTTAACGTTATTTTTTTTTTCGACGGCGAGAATTACTGAAATTATCAAATTTTATTGAATAAAAATGTCATCTTGCCTTCTATATTTTTCATCCTTCAAGATATATTGATAAATTGGAATAATTTGATTCAAATATTTTGATAAATGATCGCAGTGAATTCTTTTAAATGCTTCCAAAAAATTCGTATTTAATATTTAATTAAAAAATGATTATTAATAAAATTATTTATTATTATTGATGAAATTATCATTTACAAAAGGAAATAAATGTCAATGTCAAATCATTATCATATGCGCTCACCTGCCAACCGGAAGCGTGCGCACCGACATAACGAACATTCAACAATCTGTGAAGATCTGGCACGTCAAGACTGCGATCGTCCAGGACTTGGTACACTTTTATCTACGTGTATTAAAATTTACATTATAAGGAGGTATGACAGACATTTCAAAATAATAAAAAAATTATTTCTATGATAAAAGGAATATTTTTAAAATTTTATGTTAGTTGTCAATTAAGTAATTAGAATATTAATCTTTTTTAATCTGTGTAACTAATTGACGAATCGCAATAAAACTTTGCATAAAAAGTATATGTATAGGTGTGTGTATATATATATATATATAAACATTTAGAGTTTTGTTATTATTTTTTAAATTCTAGTTCATAACAATAAAAAGCATAACAAAAAAGTAATCAACTATAAAAATGTTTAATAAAAATAAGAACACTATAAACACAACTTTTATACGTATATTATATATTTTAAGTATAAATATTAATGCGTGTGCTAATAATAATAATAATAATAATAATAACTTTAATGAGAGTGCAACTGTTGACATTTAATGCAACATAAAATAAAATAACACAAATAAAACAATTAACATATATATCTATCGAATCTCCTCAACACATCAAGTTCACACGCTTGATTCGCGTGCATGTAAAGATTGACACGCTTATCGGCGACACTGACCGTGCCAGGCACTTACAAGATAATAAGGCGACGTAGGCATCAGCGGATGTGCGTTCCTCGGCAGCATTTTCTTCCGATAGAGATGAAGCTCGGCCTCCAGCACCGATTCGTTCATCTCCAGCCCCGAGACGTTAAAGAAATAGAAGTTCGACAAGGAAGGGTCTACGTGCAAAACAATGAGAAAAACACCGTTTAGATCGCGATTCTCACTTGATAACGAATTGCGCGACTTCCACGAGTCTTTCCTGATTATATTGATTGAAAGAATTATACCTCTTTCAACGAAACTGCGCACGATTCTAGCGTTGTACGGATTCCGACCTCGCATGACTCCATTGGGATCGGCGATAGTGTTGTACAGCTCCATCATGAATTGCGGTGGTACCTTGCGATGGGTCAGGTTCTCGTTCTGACTCCGAATACCGAGGATCTGCAATACGTTTGTCATTTTATCGTTAAGAAGCTTAAAGAGATTTCATTATCGTGGGACGACAAATCGCCAATTCGAACGATGTGCTCGCTGCTCGATTCTTGTATTACTCAAAATCTTTGGAATGAAATCTCACTCTAAAAAGTGATCATTGAGCCAGTCTTGAAAAAGACTCAATTTTCAATCCTTTATAATCAATTTCTTCATCTCTAGGTAACTTCGTTCATAAGATGTCTTATGGATAAAGTTGTCGGCAACTTATTTATAGAGGTCAAGGAATTGGTCATAAGAGTGAGACTTTACTCTTTCAAAGTGACAATTTATTTTGAAATTTTAGAAAATATCCCAAAAATGTTACGATTATATGGAGAATGCAACGTGATTGTCATTATCACCTCTTGTATCTTCTGCAAAGCCTCATCTCGTTGAGGCGCGAGATCATTCTCGTCCACCGGTTGAACGAAGGGCCACAATCTTCTGAGTTCTTGCTCAAGGCCATCCCTATTTTCGATCTGAAGATCCGGCTTCAGATACGCGTTAACGTCGCACAGAGACGTCAATGAGAACAGCAGCACTAAAAAGCAGCACGGCGCGCTCCTCGTCATCGTCGTCGTGGATCCACGATATATTATTGTGACAAGAAAGAAAAGAGATTCACTCGCGATTCCAACGAGTTCCGTTTCCTAGATCGCGCGTCAATCCACTTTCAATCTCGAGAAATCGCACGCGAAAATCGGTCGACACCGTCAACGTCGTGCATCAGCTTACCCTTTCATCGCGCTCGAGAAGATAATTCAAACGAACTCGCTTCTCTCGAGTCCTCGTCGGTCTTTATCAGAGCGAAAAAAAAGAAAATGATAGAAAAGAGTATCCTTCACGGAGAGGAGATTTTGCCGAACCGAACGGGATGCTAAGTGGCATATGGGATGTCTTGGCCGCGAGGAGTCACCTTTATGCTACTCCGGGAGTTGCCTCCCCCGCAGCTCGTTTGCCCCCCGCGGCATTGGCTCTCGTCTCGCTTCTCCCTCGCTGTCCTCGTTGTCGTCGTTGAACGGGGATCCCCTCGACTCGATTTTCGCGCATTACCGTAATTTGCTAATGTAATTTGCTATTGTCAATGGCCTTTTAATCCAGATTCGGATTCGCTTGTAAAAACGCGTAAATCAAATTTGTTTCCTACGTAAATTGTATGTATATTAAAAAATGTTTCACTGGAGAAAATAGAATATATTATTATTTTAGGTTGGATAATTCCTTCTAAACCTGCATATTTTGAAAATCTTGTCAAAAAGCAAAAAGTTATGCGGAATATTTTCAATTTCGATAGAATACACTTTTTATATAATATTGTCAAATTTATAAAATTTGTAACAAAAATATCAAATTGTAACTACTTTATGTTATTGCTGATCATTTTTATAAGTCGCCACTGTTCAATGCGTCGTTAACTAAAACAATCGAGTTAAACAATTTAATTTAAGAAAATGTATTTAATTTCGTTCAAATTTAATTTATTTACTATGTACACACACAAACATACGTTATTATAGACGTTGTTTACGTTGAAACCAATTACAGAGATGGATTAATTTTCATTTTTACACACACTGAAAAAATTATTAAATTTTAATACACATTTTTTTAAATAGATACTGCGTAAACGTAAACTTTAGTAAATACATATATTTACTTGATAAAAAAAATGATGGTTAAATTAAATTAATAGTCTTTGTATAAAATAAATATTTATTCATATTTAGTATAAATATTTAATCAGAACTAATCAAGCAAATATTTATTTAAAGTTAGTATTCTTAGAGCACGAAAATTAAAAATAACAAAATATTATTAAATTTAAAGAATTGGGTCATCTTTGCTTCTTTAATACCTAAGAATGTAGGAAAGGGAGTGATAATTAATTCTTCTGATTAAGATTTGCAAGGGAACGATTTACGAGCACCTTTTACGATAACCGATGTTCGAGATCGATGACAGAAACGAGACTTTAAAAAGACTGAGAGATACAAGGTCGCGATTCAACGATGACACTGCGTGGCTATTAAAAACAGCAAGCGCTTCCTAAATTCCGCGGATTCGTAAGTGTCGAGTTATTTGATTTGTCACGCGGCGATATTTAGGCGGATTTGACGTCGGCGATTTATTTGTCCCTCTTTAACGAGCGACTCGCCGAGGGCCGATTATTTATTCCGATAAATAGTTTTTGTCCGTCAACTTTATTTTCGTACGGCTTTTATTTTTCTAATTTGAATAGCTTTGTCCGGTTCCGGAGCCGTTCGCGCTGCATTGTCGGCCAATAATCGCGTTATGCAAATACCTCATCGCTTATCGATAAACGTCCGCCCACGTGATTAACCGATGTCGTCGCACGCCCAAATCGCGAAAGACGTAGCGAAATATTTGCCAACTGTTGAACGCGATAGAGTTATATTTATCGAAGAGTCTCTAATTTTAGCGAGTGATTGATCTATTATTGTAGTCAACAGTTTCTCGTGGGTGTGTCTCACTAAATTTGGGACAATCAAACACCAGAGAAAGGTCGATTCGTTGCTTTAATACTAACATAATTTAAAAAAGTGCACAAGAAATCGCAAAACGTCTTCGTTGAACTTGTTTTCCTTCATAAAACCTTCATTGTTATGGTAAATATGTATAGATTAGCAATAGGAAGTATAGGCAGGAAGAAAAATATTTATCTTATTCGTGAAAACATTGTTGATTTATTTAGGATTTGTACGTGATGTACCTAGGAACATGAATGTATGCGTAAAATATGTCTATCAAGCTGTCTTTCTGTCTCTCACTTTCTTTTGTTCTTTTTTCTCTCTCTCTCTCTCTCTGTATTGCTTTCTTTTGCTCCTTTCTGTCGTCGTCGATTCGATTCGAACTATTTACGACGGAATAATAATTTTATTAGTTTAGACACAGGCACACTGAGTAATTTGAATTATCTCTCTCTTCGCTCCTCGTCGGGTTCTAGAAATTTCAAATATATGATAATGTTAATAAACATTGACCGTATTTTATACATCTCTTTAATCTTCTCTTTAACTCAGAATATCGAAAAGTATTTGACTGGGAATTGAATCTTTTTATAGATGTATCCTTCTAAATTTCTTGGAGTGAAATCTTATTTCAAAATAAGAGTTAAAACTGTTATTATTGAAAAAAAAATTGAAAAGAATAGCAGATTTTACGCTTCTTTTTGGAGTAAATTTCACTCTTTCTAAAAGTGTGAATCTCACTTAAAAAAAAAAAAAAATAAACTTGTTCAAAAGTGAAAATTTTTCACTGTTTTTTTAAATAATGGCAGTATTTTAACTTTTTTGGAGCTATTTTATTCCAAGAAATTTAGAGAGTACGTGATGATAATTGGGATTTTTTCAAATTGGAGTAACCGTGATACAATAATTCTACCTGTACTCGTGCACTTTAAATCTGGCCGGTGTGCAAGTGTGCTGCTTCGAATACAGACCAGCTAGGCATCTGGACGGCTCTTTCTTATCCCGTAAAAGACATGTTTCCGTCTCGTTTCCCGGACACGTTCCGACACACTGACCGACGTTTATATGCTGTCAAAAAGTAACAGACAAAATAGAAGGGACGAAGGAATGTCTTTAAAGAATACGAACAAAATCACAGAATAATATATATACACCACCGACATAAAATCCTTATTCTCTTTAATTTTTCGATTAGTGATCGAACATATATTTCATACTCGGACCACAGGCCTCACGTCGGTCGTGTTTGTGCCCTCTTTGATCGTCACCTCGCTGTAATCCAGCACAGTTTCCATGTGGTCCATTCGGTAACAATGACCGGCGCAACCGCATTTTTCGACTACTTGGTAAATCTCGTCACCTTGAAAATGACACAATTTTCAGTGCAAATATATTTATAAATAACTCTGACTTTTGACAAATTCCTGTTCTATAACTCTTTATGACAATCTCGATCGTTATTGTTATTTTCTTACATTTTCGTTGTAACGAAATTTAGTGTACGTTATTTAGTGTACCGTTATATTTTTCATGTATAAAACCTGCGCAACGACAACATGTATAACGATCACATTGACACTGCCATTAAGAGTTACAAAATTGAGATCTCAATTCCGTGTTTATTATTTTATATACTTACCATTTGGCCCTTTGGCGCTGATTGTGCTATTCCGGACCGGCTTGCAACCCAGATCTTAAAAAACATATAAAAACGTTAATTTTAATTTTCGGGTTTCACAAAAAAGTATAGAAGTGAATAAGATAGATGAAAAAGGAATCGTAGAAAAAATTTGAGAGTCAGAGTATTCAAAATAACTGTCGTTGAAAATAACGCGTGCAAAGATAATCGCAAGACCATCGTATTTTTTTTCTATGGTAGTCCATAGCCGTGATTGTTTTTCATCTTATATACCGTCATCTTTAGTCACTGCTCGGAAAGTCTTTACGAAGTTGTACCTTTGGCGCAGTGACCAATGCAAACCCCGATGTCCACGACTGCTTGGTGCGGCGTGCCGGAATGTACATGATGGATATAGGATTCTCGTCTACAGGACGACTCTGGCGAGCATTCGCAGGCATCTATAGCCTCGATTACGCGAACACCCTGCAACGTAGACACTCGCTCCAGCTTGGCGGCTCTCGCGCGACAGTGGGAATCCGATGAACATTTCTGAAAGACAAGTAGAAATTAATATTAAAAAAAAAAATCTTCAAGTCAACGCTGCGATTCGTAGCCTTTCACTTTTAAATATTGATTTGATTTGGTGAGTATCGTTACATTGATTATTATTTTAATTCACAAGCAGGAATACTCGTGAACAATTATGTAAAAAGAGAGAGTGTCCTGTTTCTAAAACACTACCATGCCGCGTAGATTAATCCTGGAATACATAATTTCGATGATAAATTTGGCGAAAGCTCGAATAAAAGAATGATTTCGATCATGTTAAATTGAATTTTGCTGGAAGACAAGGTCTCTTGAGATTTCAATGTCACAAAATAAAAAAAAAGTAAAATCTCTTACACATCCAGGAGTTAACGCATGCTGCTAACAGTTCGCAACTAATCAAGATGCTGTTCCACCGTTTTTAGTATAAAAAAAAAAAAAAAGAAAATTGGCTCTCGGCTGTTTTACGATGCCTCTAAAGATACGCTCGCGCTCGCGTCATTCGCTTATCGTGGATTATATTAGAGCCGGTTCAACAGATTTCTCCCCCCCCCCCC